ATACACACATATATATATAAAACAAAATGCCAGGTTAAACAAAATCATATGCCCCTTAGTGTGAATAAACACTAACAAAAAGTGTTTTATCGTTTTAATGTTGTTAAAAATTTTGTTTATTTTATTTTGAAGAAAAAATACATGTAGAGAACCTTTGTTTTTTTGGGAAATGAGCAAAATCCTTTTTGATTACTATTTTCTTAGGAATTTTTTAGGTTTGATACAATTATCATCAAATTTATTTATATTTTGCTAATTTCCCTAAGCCTCACTGATTGCTAGTTTGCCTTTTTTTATTATTATTTTTTACTAGATTGGGTTGAAATTTATGGTGTGGCCAACCACAAACCCACCAGGATAATTAACAAAGAAAAAAACTGTTGTTGCTAAATAATTTATGGTGATAGCAGAAGTAATTAGCTACCCAAACAAGTGTCATATCTGATTATTTTTTGGTCCTGAATCAAGAACTGCTGTGGATCTTGTTAAATTTAACCTCAAGTTTTTGTTTGCTTGCTTGTTTAAAACTAAAAGTAATGACATTCAGTGTGAGCACTGGAGTTTGATCAAAATTATCCCCCCAAAAAACTGACTACAGTAAAATTTTAAACCATCCTTATTATTTTTTGATTTTATGGTTTAGATGTGGCTGTGATCGGAGCCCCTGATGCCACATGGGGACAGAAAGTTACTGCTGTGGTTCAGCTGAGGAAGGGGAAGAGTTTAACCTTACCAGAACTGCAGACCTGGGCACGGTAATGTTTTTAAATCTTATAATGTTTACATCTTTACGACTACGTTTTTATCTCTGATCAGTTTTTTCTTCTGTTCATATCGATACCAGTTTTAAGTTTGTAGCTCAGCTGGATAATGACCTTGTTTTGGCTGCAGATTAAACTGTTATTGACAGGCTAGATGAGTTGAAATGCTTTGTTTTCATAAACAAACCACCTCACCAGTTTTCACAAAGGTGGTTGTGGCCCCAGCTCCACTCCAAACCTGTACCACCGGAGGAGACCGTGACCTAAATACTGGTAACTTGGAGACAATCCATRATTGTTAGTCTGCAAAGACTGGCTCCAAATCCGTTTATTGTGAAGGACTGTGTCACCTGTCACGTGCTGTTTATTCATAAAACAAACTGTTGGTAATAAAATTAATACAGCTAAAAATTGCTTCAAAGATCAACTTTACAGATTTTGAGCTAAAATACGAGTTAGTCACAGCAAATACTCTGAGGTCCACTTCTTTGCTCAAAACTTTGTAAGTCCACACTTTGTTATTAAAGTATTTCATGAACCGCTGGACTGATTTTATTGAAACTCCTGGTAAATCATTATTGGATGAATATCTAAAATTCATTCATTTTTGTAGTCAGTCCATTAGAAGGGCCACAGCTAATTAACCTTAGCCAACACAACAAAAGTCTACAACTCAATTTTTCTTTGGAGAAAATGAGCAAAAATGTGGTGTGATGGTAGCTGAGAGTCAGCGTTTAGAGCATTGCAAGGGGCACTGGAAGCAACATGTACAAAAGGGGGGCATTGTGAGGCTTTTGGGGGGCATTGTGAGACTTTTTTTTGTGGGGGGAGGGGGTTGCTTTAAGGAAAGGTTTACACCAAAGATGCAGATGAAAGCCAGGCAAAAAGTACTCAGGATGAAGCTAATGAGAGAAAGAAAGAGTTTGTTTTTAACTTTTTTATTGTTTACATCGCCAAGTTGAAATATCCTACTGCATTTGAAAGCACCACTCAGTTCCCGCAGCACATGTGGGAGGTTATCTAGCAAAACAGCTTATTGGGAGCTTTGTTGTGGTCCAACTCCTTGGCTCTTAAAAATCCAGCTCCTCTTTAATTCAGCATTTCTGATTGGCTGCTGTTAGGCCGACTTCATTTACGTTCAGTGTTGGTAGCATTTTTTTAAGACATTTGTAAATATAATTTCTATTGACATGGCTTTTTTTTGTTCCCTAGAAATTTAAAAAATCTGTCATTCAGTGATTTTAACATTTTTTGTGCTAAATAAAAACATTAAAAATCATAACTGCAACAATAATAATAATAATAATAATAATAATAATATTCATTGCAAGTAGCTTGCATCTTATTTGATGGGGGGCGTTAAGAGATCTGGATCATGGATGGAGGGGGTGCTGGCCCAACAAAGGTTGAGAATGGCCTTTAATTCAGGCAGTTCCCTGAGCACACCCAGCCCGGTCCTGAAATTTTCAGATCAGTAGAAGATGTGAAAGACTGGGAGATGAAAATTCAGGGAGGTTTAAAGGAGGCCACAAATGATTGTTATGGAGGGTTTTGTCCTTTGGGCTAACATTTCTTTCTAAATGTCACTGAAGTTTATTTTGTCTGCAGCAGGAGGTAGCTGCTGGACATGCAGATCTTCACTGTGTACTGACACAAACAGAACGTGACTTTATGAAAGTAGCTCCGCACTTTTCTTAACTTTCCAACCATCTGTTCTTTTGTTTTTGTTTTGTTTCGTTTTCTGCCCTGCGTGCAGTATTTGCTACAACCCAGCCGGTCCTTTAGTTACATGTTTAAATTCTGTCCCAGTGCAGCTTTGTGTGCATGACAGCTCCATATGGAGTGCTGATGTTACGTCCTGCTGGCCCAGTATGCCAGATTAATACCACTGCCGGTGACCCACGCTGACACACTCGGATATACACAGAAACACACACACACACGTTTGCTGCCAGGGGTTCAGCCAGCGGAGGGGCCGTGCCAACACACAACACACTGCTCTGCCCTGAGTGTGGAGGAGATGGAGGAAGACAAAATGAGACATAAACAAGTAGATGGATGCTCACTCCTCAGTGCCCTGACTTCAAATGTCAGTCTGAATTTCTGTCACACCCTCTGCGCTGTCTTGAACACACACACACACACACACACAGAGAGAGAGAGAGAGAGAGAGAGAGAGAGAGAGAGAGAGAGAAACACGCTGCCCTGGAGAGATTGGTGACACGAGCGAGCCCTGTTACAGAGCCTGTATGTATGCACATACCCACACTTTCCTCTCCGAGTCAGACAGACGGAGACATCTGCTGAAAGGAGTGTTTGATGGCAACCGTATGAGTCATTACGCTCACTCACACAACAGGAGTGCACACACCGACACACACACACACACAAACAAACTAGGTTAGAAGATAATAAAAAGCGCTCCGGGCTTTAAGACTTGACGTAACATTCAGCCACAGACAAACAAAAAAATAAAACACTTTTAATTATCGCTGCCTTCTGTTTTCCTTTTTATTATTTCCCACCTCTTTTTTTTTTTTCATTTCCCTTTGATTATATTGTTTTGTATGACGGGACTCGTCTATGTCTGGAAGCGAAGTGGGGATATTAAGGGAGAACTCCACAGAACGTATGAAGGACATTTCTTTCTGTATCTCTGCCACAGGGGAAGCCTTTGTTGTGCAATTGTGTTTTTGTTTTCCCTTTTTGTTGTTTTGTTTTTTTCTCTCATCGACGTTGTTGGATTTGTCAGCGCCGTGCACATTGTTTTATTTGTCGTGTACACGTCTTCTGCTTTTAAACGTTGGTGTTTGTTGCAGGGAACACATGGGTCCATACAAGATTCCAACAGGCTTGTTGCTCGTGGAGGAAATGCCGAGGAATCAAATGGGAAAAATCAACAAGAAGGACCTCCTGAAACACTTCTTTCCTTGACTCAACATGAGGGACTCTTCTAGGGTTGGCTTTTTTGTTTAGTCAAAATGAGGCGAACTTTACCCACAAATGTACTAAAAACACACAGAAAATGGGTAAACTCATCATGGTCAAATATCTGARGAGGAAATTTTATAAACAAAACCAACAACTATTTTAGAGTTGGAAACTTGAGAAAATCACTGTCATAAAACAGTATGAAGTCCACAATGAGGACAAAAAGTGTTGAGACTACAAAACAGTAAAAGTAATCTGAACTGTGATTTTATCTGATTTATGATACAAGGTGTATGAAACTTTCATTAGATAGTGTTTTGTTTTTCGCGACAGTGTATCACAAATTTAATGTCATCACATTAACAATGAGGGTAATATCAATATTGTAAAGAACAAACTGTTTCTTTCTAACTTCCAGCTAAAGTTTAGTAAATTTACCCATTTTACACTTTTACAGCACGTCGTTGTGGGGATAAAAATAAAAGTACAAATTACTGTTTTGTTATGAAATATTGAAATCAGTTATTCTGACAAAATGTTGTGAAAATTAGATTTAGAATCATAAAAACTTAATTGAAGTTGAAATAAAAGAAGGTATCAGTTGTTAAGAGAATTTATTGAGTCAAAATTAAAAATCCAACAAACTCTTTTTTTATTTTAACTAAAAAAAATAGTAAATACACTAATTATTTCAATCTAACATGGGCTTTAATATTGTTTTGCGTTTCATAAAAGTTAATCTCTTTGGACCTGAAATATAAAATAACAGATAAATAACAGTTTATTTTGGATCTTTAAAAAAATGAAACAAACTAAAGTTTTACACTTAAATTTTATATAAAACGTAATAAAAAGTTGCATTATTCAAATTTTCATCMTTGTTTCAATCTCTAAATAGATTTTTACGTTATCAAACAATTAAAAATGTTTATTAAATACTTTAGAGCCATTCCTTGGAAAATAAAAGTTCATATTTTATTTATTGTTCTGTATAATAACAGTATATAAAGGCATCTGTATGAAAATGAGTAGGTTGAAGTCAAATATGTATTTTCCCACCCCTCTCACTTTTCAGTTSATCAAATTCAGATTTTTTATTATATTATTATTACAAAGTAATAAGCATTATATCTGTTGTATTTGCACTGATCATTCTGGTTTTGACTCATAATTTACTGATGAATAATGAGTTTTAAGAGTATAAATTTCTGTTTCTAATTGATGAAATTGAATGCAACATTTGCTGTTTTGCTAAAAAAAAATAAAAAATAAAAATAAAAAATAAAAAAATAAAAGTCATACGGTAATGGTGTCCAGTCCTGGTCCTCTGGGTTTTTGTTGTTTCCCTCCTGAGGACCAGGTTTGGACACAACTGCTCTAAACTTTTATGAATAAAAAGCTGTGATCAAACGCACATGATGGTTTTATTATTGGTTGAGCCTGCTCCATAAAAGGCCATCTGAGAGGAACTTTAAACCACGTTATTGGTTTATATTAGAGCAGAGGAGCCCAAAGTGGGGCCCGTGGGCCAAATTTGGCCCGCCAAGCCATTTAATTTGGCCCACCAACAGTTGCCAAAGTTACAAGGTTGTAACCTGTTATCCTATGTAGAAACACAGTATTTCCATTGGTCAATAAACTATAAAAGGGCTGTAGTGAAGGTAGTTTTCATTCATGGTGCTGACTTTATCTTTGATTTATTAGGATTAAATATCAAACATGAAATGACAAGAAATATTTAGATCAGATTTAACCCCACATATAGATTTTCACACTTTATAAGGCCACAAAAACTCATATTTTATCAATTTATGAAATGTCCCATGAGCCTTTGCTATTTGAGAGAATGGCAGAGTTTCTCCAAGAGCACAAACTAAAACAAAAGAGGGACATTGCACAGCTTGATTGTTAAAAAAAAGGACTTTACTTAAAAAGTATTTGTATTTCATGTATTATATTACTGCACTTGGCCTGCAGCCCTGGATAGATTTTCATTTTGGCCTCCTCGGGGAAAGTGTTTGGGCACCCCTGTATTTGAGTGTTGATCGCACTCGGAGCACAAAATAAACTGTGATCTAAAAATTAAAACTTTGAAGAGAAGTTAATAAAACGCCGCCACCCTTTTGCATAAATTACAGACGCGGCTATAATTGTTTCCTGGGAGCGTTTGTTTGTGCGTCGGTGCAGCTGTGTGTACACAGGTGCGACGAGAGCTTCATTCTCCAGCAAGGCACAACGCCACAGCTGGAAGCCCCCCCCCCCCCCACACACACACACACACACACAAACACACACACACACACACACACTCCATCTGACTCACCCTCTCACCCCGCTCGCTCTTCTCACCTCTCGTCTTTTTCTCACCTCAGTTTATCCAAAAACTTCGCCTGCTTCTGTCTTCACCACGAGTCACAACAGATTGCAGCGGCGCCGGGGCCAACTCAGCCGCCAGACTCCTTTTCAGGGAGCGCTTGGCGTGCTGCCAGCAGAGGCGGCGTGTGTTAGTGTGTGTAACAAAATGACAGAAAAGGCCCAGAGAAGAGCAGGGGGGGAAAAAACTATAAAGCAGGATGGAAGAAGAGACTGGAGCTTTAACAACGGTAAAGAGACGAAGAACATGAAATGATAAAAGAATGAAGAATGCTTTCAGATCTGCTGGAAATAAACAGTCGTGATGAACAGCCGTAGAAGTGAAGATAGAAAAATACACAATCACTGGCTGATACAACCTTCAGTCCACACACACTCCTCCGCCCACAGCCACCAGAGACCTGATTAAGAGAGCGGTGCTATCGATCTGTGGGCTGCCAGGCTAGGATGGATGAGCAGGCAGGGCTGCAGGAGCACCAGAGGACAGCTCCGGTGCCCCCCACACCTCCCAACGCCACACCCAGCCATCCACACCAGGATCAGCCTGCCACGCCGCCGCTGCAGCCGGCAGCTGAGGGTCGAAGTGAGATCTGAAGTGTGAGGTGATACGTGTCTGAAGGTGAGGGGGGGTCTTTCAGGCTCGTCTGCTGCACACAAAGGGGTGGGCGGGGAGCGAAATGCACTCCTGCCCTTGAACTTCCTCTACCTGCCTTTTATTTCCCCCCCACCATCTCAAACACACCTCTGCCCGTGTCTGCTGGAGCGTGGTGGAGGAGGTTGTCTACAGATGGCTGCTTATTGGGCTCCAGGGTCCTGGAGGGTGGGTCGTCATGGACCCCCACCGAGGTTGTTTGGGACAGGAAAGAGAGAGAGGATTTCGAGTGACGTTCAAATGTTTCAAAAGCAGGTGATTTCACAGAAAGGTGTAAAGTTTGTATTATTGTGGTAACATCGGATTTTAAGCAAACCTGGATATTAGAATGCTGACTCAGCATGTTTTTCTGTTTGTTTTATAATCTAATTTCCATACTTTGTGTTACTTTAGTCATACATAAGTCAAAATGTTCAGCTTATTCAGATGTGTGGTATGACTTTAAGTTTTTGTAACTTTTATACTTTTTAAAACATTTACCTTTTATGTACAAATATTTTTCCCATAAAATACATTGAGATCTCTGTTATTTCTTTAAAATCATTCTTTTTTTAACTTCAACAGACTTGCTCCATTTTTGTCTTCTTATACTACGTTTAGCCTTTAGATAGCCTCGAAGTCTTTAGATATCATTTTGCTAACCCCTTGTGACACTTGTAGGGAGCATTTAGCTACTTTTAGTTTTTATATAGTCTTTTGCCACAATTAGCTTTTAGCTAATCTTTTGCTACATTTATTTATTAGTCAGCTTTTTTCTTCTTTTAGCTAGCATTTTCTACTTTTAGTTGGCTTTTTGCTACTGCTAACCAGCCTTTTTATTGCTTTCAGGAAGTAATTTGTTAGTTTTAGCTTTTATAGCCTTTGGATGCTCTTTAGATTCTAGCTAGCTTATTTTCTACATTAAGCTATTTGCTAGCACTTTGCTGCCTTTAGCTTTTAGGGAAATTTTTGCTTTTTTAGCCAGTGTTTTCTTTTAGCTAGTGTTTTCTACTTTTAGGCAGCCTTTTACTTCTTTCAGGAAGCAGTTTACTAGTTTTAGCTTTTATCTTGCTTTTGGATTGTTTAGGTTCTAGCTAGCTTTTATCTGCATTTATGTTTTTGCTAGACTTTTGCTACCTTTAGGTTGGCAGTAGTCTGGTTAAAACCAGACCCCTTGTCCTTCACTTTGCTTCATACGAGGGTCTGGACTCTCAGCTATAGAGAAGTGATTCTTGCTGGAGGCGTGGCCTCTGCTGAAGTTTAAAATGATTGGATCAGTTGGCTGCCATGGTGCGCCAGCTCCACTGTGAAGGAGGCTAAGAAGCTAACCGGAAATTGCGTGCGCTGTAAACAACCCTACTGAGAGGTGAGTGGTACCGAGCCGAACGAGACGACTGTAAATGAGAGCTGCTGCTTTGTCAGACAAATTTGATTTGGAAGCCTTATCGACACAGACTGGCTTCATTCACTTCCTCCGGCACTATCATACGGCAGTGTATGATAAAATAACTAGCAGACACTGCGCAGAAAATCGACGTTCTGTTCTCTGATTGGCCTGAATGAAATGCTCCTGAAGAAATCCTTGTCTATGGGAGAAATCCCAGACAGAGCAGTGAAGGGAAACTAGAATTGAGCGGAACTGCGTGGGAAGGCAAGGGTTTGGCAGTAGTTTTCTACTTTTAGTTGGCTTTTTGCTACTTTTAGGCAGCCGTTCACTGCTTCCAGGAAGCAATTTGCTAGTTTTAGCTTTTATGTAGCCTTTAGATTCTTGCTAGCTTTTTTCTACATTTAGCTTTTTGCTAGCCTTCTATTACCTTTAGGCAGCAGTTTTCTACTTTTAGCTAGTGTTTTGCTTTGTTTTAGCTAGCATTTTCTACTTTTTGGCTTTTAGATATTTTGTTACTTTACCTTTTTAAGTGTTTTGCTTTATTTTATTTTATTTTTTTAGTGTTTTACCTCCTGTTTCAGCTTTCAGCCACGTTTTTCAGTGCTCAGATTCTCTGTTTTAGCACCTGGCAGCATTACAGCCTAACAAAGACTCGAATGCCCTTATTAATGTTTTATTATGTCACAAAAAATCAAATATCAGTTCATTTGGTTGCTAAATAATTTTCTGTAACTATTTTCAGCTCGTATAGTTTTACCACAAGAGGTATCATTCAAACCAAGAAAAAAAAAATACGACCCGTGTTTCAAAAACAGCTTAATTTTTATTGTGAATCAACTTCAGACAGAGATCGGTAAACCAGCTGGGAGTTTTTAAGTTTTTGTAGACAGAATAATCCTGAAATGTGCCCAAGGATTTCACCACGTTTAGCGTCTGATTCATAATGCAGCCCATGCAGAGAGGTCAGCTCTGTCGAAATGTGCTCCCTGAGGCTTTAGACTCGTGTTACTTTGACACTCATCCTTTCTCTGCGACTCCACAGAAGTCCCAGCCTGTCACTCTCCTGCAAACATGAAAGCCCATCCATCATGAATGATTCTGGAGGAGAAGGAAGCACCTCCCTCTCCTCCTTTAAACTGCATAATAAACAGGTCAGGCTCAAGTCGTGAGACAAACAAACACAACGTCTCCTGAATTCACGGCGAAGCGTTTATACGCCGCTGTGCTGTTTTACATTCCAGACACAAACACAAAGCGGGGCTATAATTATACAGTCAAACATTTACATGCACACTTTTGACAGTCACAAAAGGCTGTGGGCCCGCGGCTACTTGATCAACATGACAGGCTTTATGAATGTAAGTGGGCAGAGAGACGAGTGATGGGAGGATGACAGGCAAGGCTCTTCAGCCCCAGGGACGCCCGAGCGTACACAGCACACAGATCCAAACACACATCAGTGAATCCAGAACGCCACCAGGCCTGTGTGGGGGCTTAACCGGCGCTTGTAGTGGCAGGTTGTTGTTTATATGGAGCTCATGTTTATTCTAAAGCTGCTTACACCTCACTGGCTGCAGCCTCGGGCTTCATTCCTGTGAAACTCCTGCTGAATCCCTGTTTTCTCCCTGCCTCTTCTTCTGTTGACACCCCCACTTCCCCCCTTTCTTATTCCATTACTGTTTTATTCTTTCTCTCCCTGCCCCCTCATTATTTGGTGTCATAATGATATTTCACAGCATGTTTTTCAGCGAACCTCGCAGCATTGCTCGAGGGCTGGCGGTGTCGTCGTGATAGGCAATATAGAACCTGAAATAACTCATCACATCTTTGAAGAAATGACTGAAGACTTTGTACAAACGTGTGACCGTTAGGGGCCGGGTCCTGTGGTTTGTGGTGATTTACTCCAGCTGATCTGCTCACTCAGCCCGGGAGTCACAAACTGAATTTTGTCAAAGGTCAGGATTCTTCTATTCAGACGGCCCGAAGGTCAGCCTTTGATTAATTATTTTTCTGAAATATGGATGATCTGCTATTTATTTTCAAAGCAAAAGAACTGCTGAGTCTTTATCCAGTAAAATATAATTAAAAACTTTAAAAAGGCTTGAAAACCAGACAGAAACATTAAAAGGAAGGTATAAATTTAAAAACTGACTGCAGCAGCATCAATGTTATCTTTTAAAGTTTTCTTGATAAAAAGGAAAGTTTGAAAATGGGTCTAAATTCTGAAAGGAACAGATGAGTCAAGAATGGGTTCCTTCAGCAACAGCTGAACATGTTTAAAACAGGCTGGAACAAAAGTTCAATCACTAAAATATCAAACTCAATAACAGAAACTTTCTTTAAAGCAGACATGTTTTAAATCCTTTTTTTTCACATTTAAAACACTAATTTGGGGCCTATGTAAAGTGGAACTGCATGTTTTGCTCTGAATTCCTCCTTATTGTAACTCCACAAGCCCCCCTTTCATCTCTTTTCTGAGGTGTGTCTCAGATCATCCAATTTTGAGGCTGTCTCTTTAAATCCAAACGAGGTGCTTCACGCCCCGCCCCTCTCCTTACATGATGGAGTCAGAGTCTGACCCAGATCCAGAGGGGAATGAAGACCACCAAGTTGTAGTTGGTCCAGAGCTTATTTGGCAGTTCCATCGCAAATAATTTGATGTAATAGTTCATAAAATATAGAGAATAAAGAAAACTGAACAGGTTGAAAAATATAACCCAAACAGAATATAAAAACATCTACATGAGAAACTAAATTCTAATTTTTGCACTCCTAGAGACTCAAGTACACAACAAAATGTATTAAACAGCTAAAAAAATGGATTTATTTTTTCATATGTCACTTACATTAGAACATGATTTGAACAGGCTGATGTTTTCATATTTTTAACTATTTATGCATAATTCAATAATAATTTTATAATTCAGGACCAGATAGGACAAGCTCCTGGTTTGAATATGGCCCAGGGACCATCAGTTGATTATTACTTCTTTTTCTTATTTTCCCTGTTTTAGGTCTTAGCAGTAAATACCTAAACATTATATACGTACTGTTTTCTATATTTTAACCAAGATGTTATTTTCATTGTTTATGTATCTCTAACAGTTTTAGCTTAAACACAAAGTGAGAGCAGCAGAGCTGCAAACTCGCTAAAATACTTTTTTTTTTTTTTTACATTAACTGCTTAATGTTAACAGATGTTCCTGCAGCACTGGTGTCAAAGTGTTTATTTTCTTTTAGTTCAGCACTTTTTTTCTTATCAAACATGGCTTAAAAACTTTTTAGAAGAGAAAAAACAGGATCGATACTGAATTATCATGTTCTGGCTCTCATAACTCGGCCCACTCAACAATGGAGAGGGACAAGGTCATGAGAGAATAAATAGCAGGCAAACTAGCTAATGATCTATCATTCTGGACAAGCGGCTGCACCAGAGAGCGGGCTGGCTGACAAGATCATTAATAAAAGCTGCTGGGAGAGTGATCGATCGGCTTGATGTATGATCAGAGCCACAAATACTATAAAACACCTGGATGTCAAGCCCCATGTCTTTGAGGG